ATTCTTGTTTTCAGTTTTATTTTTTGAAAGCAGAGACCTCTCAGGTGTGGAGAATGTGATAAAAGTCATCTGTAATGTGGTTCCATTAAAGTGCATGTGAGGTCAGTTGGCCAAAGTAAGCGTATGCCCATTTGGTCTATATTTTCCTGGACGTATTGAGATCGACATGCTAAGTCTCTCGACTTGGCCATGTGCCAGCATACTACACCACTAACAATCATTTGAATAAATACATAGAAAGGAAAAAATTTAACCATTGAGGGAAGGGGATCATACTCAAGCTGCCATGTCTCTAAATGAATGCATAAAGTGTCCAGACCCTGATGAAAAAGAATAATGAAACCCCAAACTCCCTTTTTATTATTTTTGTCTTTAAATATGCTATTTCGACATATTTCCACATTAAGTCCGAGTTGCTTATCCATTGATTATGGCAGTCGGATCAGAAGTTTATGAATTTTACATTCCAACCATTCCGATTTCTCTAATATTTAAGCTTGAGCACCCTTTTGTCTTACTTATAAATCAGGAGAGTTAGTTGTTATTATCGTCTGCTATTTCTTATCTGAATGAATAGGGGTGTGCGATTGACTTACATCTACGTGCTGCACCCTGGGCAACGTACACTCATACGGCAAAAAGTCTACTAACTGGCAGTTGACCTCTGACTTCAAACTACCATGACCCAACTGTATGTCATATTCGACCCCCTTCCACAGTACTCACCTCACCTTTTTCTACCTTTGTCTGTCTCTTCAAGCTATATTAATTGATTAAATTTATTAGGGGGGGGGGAGTAAGTTACGGAATCCGCAATAAACAAAAAAAGTGTACTGATCCTCTATTCAAATAGTTTTCTAGTTAATTAATATGATTAGAATCTCACTATTAATTATTTTATATTTATTGAACAATCTTATGGTAAAAAATAGGAAATTTCGAGGTAAAACCATGACCAGAATAGGAGTTTCAGAAATCAGGTTCCTGTTTTTTCCCCTGATTGTGATCATTGAATGTGACAAAATAGATTTATTCAAACAACTCATCAATCGACGAATGATAATAGACTTTATGTCGTGGCCTATGATAAGAGTGCGTATTCGCACTTCTGATTCACTTTCCAAGGCATTCCTTCATCTTCCTAGCGGGATTCATCTGAAAACAGTCTAATAAAGGTTTGAAGAAACAGAATTCACATCCAGTGCATCGAAAAGTTAACTAATTTGACAAGTAGATTCAGGTCGTATGCTCTATCTCTTCGTGCACAGTCCATTTCGTAATTTGCTAACGTTTAAGTGGTTAAATTCCATAATGTGTTCACTTTATTTGTGCACATATCATAGGCAATCCCTAGTGGACAATAATTTTTTTTCACATCTAAGTCAAAATGCTGTACAGAGGCATTTTATTTACATGTATAAATTTGTTTTATTTAATTATAGTCATTACCACCAAAAAATACAATGTGTACTCTGCGTAATTTTCAATGAGACGTTAATTTTTGCTAATAGCTTTCTTGAAAGAAGTCAAAAATTATTAACTTAACTGTTTTATTTTTTATCTTATTTTCCTTTTATATCTTTCGGTTAAGTACCACGTCGTGATACTGTCAAGATTTTGGTGTAATTGGCTTAAAGCTAGTTGGACCATGCCCTTAAACGTTTAAAACAATTTCCAATTCCTATTAAGAGAAGTTTTCACAAAACTTGACCTGGGTACATGGGAAGTCGATTTTAAGGGGAATCACATTCAACAGACTCTTGTGAATTACAGTAAAGTAGGACTTTGACGACGTGCAAAGTAGAAATAAAAAGTAGTTACGAGCTTAATCATGCTGGCTCGGGTTTTGGGAGTACAATAACAAAAGCACTCAAATCATGAAGAGTCTACAAATGGAATACTTATAGCGCTGTTATAATTTGAATTAGCTCACTGGCCGCTTAAGTTTATTCTTTCTTTTTATCACATTGTTATTATTCCAATGGTGGGGTGTGAGATAGACTTACCTCCACTTGGTTCACCCTGGGCAACGTATACTCATACGGCAAAAAAGTCTAATAACCGGCAGTCGACTTCTGACTTCAAACTACCATGGACCGACTGCTTGTCATATCAGACCCCTTCCACTATACTCATCTTACCTTTTTCTCTACCTTTGTGTCTGTCTGCCTCTTTTACATCTATGAATCGCTCTTCTGTTCCCCACCCCTCGACTTTCTGCTACTTCGATGAATCTTCCCTCTGTGAACCCCGAAGTCAGCTAAATGGCTAATGATTGCTATCAAAAAGCCCGCCATTTGAAATAAATAAATTATTCCAATAGTAATATCAAGCTATTGTTGAAAATTATGAAAGTTAAACAAGTAACCTTAGTATAGCTATCTCACTGGGTGAGCGAAAGACTTACCTCCACGTGATACACCCAGGACAACGTATATTCATAAGCAAAAATGTCAATTACTCAGCATTCGACTTCAGTTTTTTATGATTAGATTGAAAAGAAGCTCTAAGAGAAATCACCCTCATCAGGGCGAATCACAACTACCATACATCCTTCGGTAGAATGCTGGAAGGATGTCACAGGACAAAAAGATCCGAAACCAGAAAATCGTACATATATATGAAATAGACATTTCTACGATCATGCAAGCAAACCTTAAATACCGGCAAGTTGCAAGTGGCATTGTGACTGGAGCAAAAGAAGGCCTCACCTCACACTACGATCAAATCAAGAGTATGGGCTCGACACAAGACATGTGCGAAATAATCAGATTAAATGTTTGGAAATGTCAAAATCACTTCAAGGTATATGCAGTCCATAATTCACCCCAGAATTGTCTCAACTTTGACTTTCTGAACATCTCACACAAAACTATAGTATTAGGAGACTTCAACGCCCATTCCACTAGATGGGGCTACAAGGATACAAATATAGTTGGAAAGGAAATCGAAGACATGCTAAACAGCAACCCTCTGGAACTTATTTATAAAAATGAGGATCCTGCTACATATCTGCACTACAATGGAACCAGAACAACTCCTGACTTGCTCCTGGCTTCAAACGACATCATCGAGGATACACGTCGAAAATTATTGACGATCCTGGTTCTGGTCACAAACCAGTCACCGCACAATAATTGACGATCCTGGTTCTGGTCACAAACCAGTCATTCTACCATCGGCAGCAAAAGCATGACAAGGAAAGTGCCAACTTCGGCAGCAAAAGCATGACAACGAAAAAGCCAGCTAGGCTATCATGGAACTTCAAGAAGGCCGACTGGTCTTGATTCACAAACCTTTTAGACAATGAACTTCACACAAGTCCCCTCAACTTAAACCAACATCCAGACAAACTTTGCAATGATACAAACCTTTTAGACAATGAACTTCACACAAGTCCCCTCAACTTAAACCAACATCCAGACAAACTTTGTAACGAAATCACGAATATTATGATCAGATTGTGCAAAGAAAACTATTCCCCGAGGCAAGACTAAACACTATCGAGTGTTTTGGTCTAAACACCTTGAGGATAAACACTATCGAGTGTTTTGGTCCAAACACCTTGAGGAAGCTAAAAGAAAGCGGGACGCCCTTCGCAACACTGCTGATCAGAGACGCCCTTCGCAAAACTGCTGATCAGACTGGAAGAACTCTGGGGACGACAATCAGCTGTCCTAAGGTAAGCCATCTTAAAAGTCAGACGGACCACCTTTGATAACTTCATCTCAAATATCAACTAACAAAGTGATAGCCAACGCACTTTCAAATTCCTGGGTAACCTCCAAAACAACAGGAAAGACCCAAGAAAGAACCAATACGCTTAAACAACAAACTGCTCACCACCGACTCTGAAATAGCTAACTGCAAAACCCTTTTGTCAGAAAATCATCAAGAGATTAAGATACAAGTAAGACAGTTTTTTGAAACTAAGGAAGACACAAATCACCAAATAATGTACTTACTGAATCATTCAGACCTTGCGAACTTAGTGCTGCGATAAAACAGCTAAAGTACAAAAAGTCTCCTGGCAAAAAGCCAAGGAAACGATGCTAACACTTTTCAACAAAATCTGGAAGATCAATCTCGAACTTATCCAATGGAAAGTTGTCACAGTAATACCAGTACTAAAAAAGGGCAAAGACCCTAGCAACTTCGACAACTATATGCCTATCTCCCTCACAAGCGTGCTGGCCAAATATATGGTAAAAATGGTTGACACGAGGCTGACCTGATTCCTTGAGACCAACAATATTCTTGGTAACGAACAAGCAGGTTTTAGGCCACAAATATCGACAAACCAACAAGTAGCCACTTTCTCCAAACACATCAAAGTTGCCCTTGATGCAAGAAATACTCTTACGGCGGTATTCATCCATTTCAAATCAGCATATGACTTAGTATGGAAAGAGAAGCTAATTCTAAAATTTGCGAAAATTGGTATTAAACATAACATGCTAAACTGGATAAAAGCATTCATTGGACGAAGATCATGTAAAGTCAGATATGGAAATGCTCTATCAAAATCCAATCTTTTACAAACAGGCCTTCCACAGGGAACTGTCACAAGCTGCACTCTTTTCAGTGTCTTCATAAATGGCATAGTCGAATTAGTACAGACAGACACGGGCATCAAGTACTTACTTTATGCAGATGACTTTGTTCAATTGTATTCCGCCCCTGAGAAAAATGCTCAGGAGAGGACAGAAAGTGCCCTAAATTGTGCACTTATGCTACTAGCAAACTGGTGTGACAACAATGGAATGGTAATTATTGGGAGAGGACAGAAAGTGTCCTAAATTGTGCACTTAAACTATGTGCGACAACAATGGAATGGTAATTAACACCGCAAAAAAATCGCTCTTAATAGTGCACTTAAACTACTAGCAAACTGGTGCGACAACATGAGTGCACTTAAACTACTAGCAAACTGGTGCGACAACAATGTACTGGTAATTAACATGCAATACTGCATTCCAAACATTTCCTCTCCCTCGTCTTAGCATAAACCCGCTTCTTCTTTGGCCCATCAGAGCATAAACCCGCTTCTAAGGTTTTGGCCCGTCACAGCATAAACCCGCTTCTAAGATACAAGGAAATCAACACCGCGAAAACTGCATTCCAAACTTTTTCTTTGAGCCGTCACAGCATAAACCCGCTTCTAAGGTACAAGGATACTCGTGAAAACCAATGAGTTCACTTATCTCGGAATGACGTTTGACAGATGAGTTCACATATCTCGGAATGACTTTTGACACAAAGCTAAAGTTTACTTATCTCGGAATGACGTTTGACACAAAGCTAACGTGGAAAACGGTCACATTGCGCTAAAACAGCAGAACGAGTCTCCAATAGAGTGAATTTACTGAATCTTCAATGGACTGAATGTTCTGAAGCGTCTTGCTGGTTGCGTATGGGGC